CGGGAGATGTGGGAGACATGGTTGAGGGCGTTCTCGACCACCGAGGGGGGGAAGTTACGGTCCTTGAAAAACGAGGACAACTGAGATGTACGGGAGTGGAATGCCTCATCTTGGGAGCAGATGCGGCGGAGGCGAAGGAATTGGGAATAGGGGATAGCACTTTTGCAGGAAGGTGGGTGGGAGGAGGAGTATTCTAGGTAGCTGTGCGAGTCGGTGGGCTTGAAATGAATATCGGTTTCTAGGTGATTGCCCGATATGGAGACAGAGAGGTCCGTCCTCCCTGGACTGACCTATCCCCTTCCTAACTCCCTTTACTGGCTCCATCCCCGCCTCCTCGACCTGTTTGTTTCCTCTCCACCTATCCTCTCCTCTATCCATCTTCTATCCGCCTCCCACTCTCTCCCTATTTATTTCAGAACCCCCTTCCCCTTCCCCTCCCCCTTTTCTGATGAAGGCTCTAGGCCCGAAATGTCAGCCTCTCTGCTCCTATGATGCTGCTTGGCCTGCTGTGTTCATCCAGCCCTGCACCTTGTTGTCTCGGATTCTCCAGCATCTGCAGTTCCTACTATCTCCTAGATACTCAGTATCATGGTTTGACCAACCTAAGTTATGTGTTCATTTCTCCGACTGGAGAAAGGATAGATGATATCGATATGAGAAGGAGTGCAGAGGGTGAGGTGATGGCTTGGTGGTATTATTGCTGGACTGTTAATCCAGAGACTCGGGTAATGTTCTGGGGACCCAGGTTAGAATCCCACCACGGCACATGGTGGAATTTGAATTCAACTAAATTCTGTAATTAAGAGTCTCATGATGACCATGAATCCCATTGTCAATTGTTGGACAACCCTACTGTTCATTACTGTCCTTTTGGGAAGGAAACTGCTGACCCAATATCTCTTACGCCACTCGAGACTGGTCTGTCATTCAATAACATCATGGCTGATCTGATTGCAAATTCTGCTTCACTTTTTGTCAAAGGATAACGTTTTGTTTCGGGTCAGTGTTTTTCTCAGCTTTTGCGCTCAATACTTATAAATGCAAGCCATCAAAATCCCATATTTTTTGTAAACTTCTCCATCAATATGGCCTTCAGAGATCTGTGCATGTCAACCACCAGTGTGAACTCCCTGGTGTGTGGTTTTGTGGTGATGGTTTTCCCAGGAACCGGTTACTGTTCTCCCCTTAGTTAGTGCGTGGTGTGAGTTTGGGAGATTCTGTCAACCTTCACTTGAGTTGCAAATATATGAAACCTATTTTGTATCTCCCTTCTTCACCTCTTTCTCTGTCTCCGCTCCCATAGAGAGCAGAGGCTTGTGAAGGCTCAGACCATGTGACAGGTTCAGTTCCCTGCAGTCTATTTGTGAATTCAGTTGGGTTTTTGTTATAATCTAGCAGCTTTCAAGGTCACTTTATTATGTTTTACAGGGTATTGGAAAGGGAGGAGGTTCAGGAATGAAACATCATGTCCAGTCAGAGATAGTTGATTTGTCAGGATGTGAGTAACATCAGCCTTTGAACGTGGAAGGAAAATGCACTGTTCACAGTGGGGACAGACTGTACACATGTGGACAAGGCTTCAGCCAAAACATGAATGCTGTCAAAGTGAGGAGAAATCGTGGAAACGTGTGGACTGTGGGAAGGGATTCAATTATCCATCTGAGCTGGAAACTCACCAGCGAATTCACACTGGGGAGGGACTGTTCACGTGCTGTGATTGCGGGAGAGGACTTACTCAGTTAGCCAGCCTGCAGAGACACCAGTGCGTTCACACTGACGAGAGACCTTTCAAATGTTCGGACTGCGGGAAGTGCTTTAAAGTTTCCCAAGAACTGAAGCGACACCAACGAGCTCACACTGATGAGAGACCGTGTAGATGCTCTCGCTGTGGGACAGGATACAAACAATCATCTGATCTCACTGTACACCAGCGTGTTCACACTAGAGAGAAGCCGTTCACCTGCATGTTGTCTGGGGAGGGATTCACTTGTCTCTCCAGCTTGCTCAGACACGGGAGAGCTCATACTGGGGAGAGACATTTTCAATGTCCAGATTGTGAAAAGTGCTTTAAAAATTCCTGTGAGCTCATTGGCCACCAGTGTGTTCACACTGATGAGAGACCATTCAGGTGCTGTGAATTTGGGAATGGGTTCAGAAGATCATCTGATCTCACTGTGCACCAGTGCATTCACACTGGGGAGAGACCTGCTGTGAGGGTGGGAAGGCTTTCACAACCTTATCCATCCTGCTGAAACCAGCAAGTTCACAATGGAGATAGCTGGTTCACCTACTTTAAGTAGACATCCAACTTTATTTTATCTGTGGTGAGACTTTTTACCTTTTACACCTTTTCAGGTCCCAACCACACTGGATAGAAAACAAAGACGATTTTCCTCATCTCCCCTCTAATCCTTCCAACAGTGACCTTAAATTTGGCCCTTCTACTTTTGAATTTTTAACCAATACCTAGAATGGGTGGGGTAACAAATGGTTGGCCTGGTCAGGCTTACATCTGCTAGGATGTAGAACTGTAAGGTAACTTGATTGAAATATATAGTATCCTGACGTGATCTTGACAGGTAAATATGGAGTGGATATTTCCTCTTACGGGAGAATCTCTAGAATTGGGAATCATACAATTGTAGAGTTGTACAGCGCGGAAACGTACCCTTTGGTCCAACTCGTCATGCTGATCAGACATCCGAAATTAATCTAATCCCATTTGCCAGCATTTGACCCATATCATTCTAAACCCTTCCTGCTCATATACCCATCTAAATCTCTTCACCTCCTCTGACAGCTCATTCCATTCATGCACCAGGCTCTGCTTGAAAATGTCACCCCATAGTTCCCTTTTTAATCTTTCCCCAGTCATCTTAAACCTATGCTCCCAAGGTTTGGTCTCCCCTACCTTGAGGAAAAGACCTTGTCTATGCACCCTATCCATGCTCCTCGTGATTTTCTAAACCTCTGGAAGGTGACCCTTCAGCCTCTGATGCTCCAGGGAAAATAGCCCCAGCACCTTCAGCCTGCCCCTTTAGCTCAAACCCTTCAACCTGGCAACATCCTTGTAAATCTTTTCTGAACCCCTTCAAGTTTCATAGCATCCTCCCGATAGCAGGGAGACCAGGATTGCAAAAGTGGCCGAACCAATGTCCTGTATAGCTGCAACGTGATTCCCCAACTTCTATATTCTATGCACTGACCAATAAAGGCAAGCATACCAAACGCCTTCTTCACTATCCTATCTACCTGTGACTCCACTTTCAAAGAACTGTGAACCTGCACTCCAAGATTCAGCAACATCTCCCAAGGCCTTCCCATTAAGTGTATAAGTCCTGCCCTAATTTACCTTTCGAAAATGCAGCACCTCACATTTATCTAAATTAAACACCATCTGCCACTCTGCAGCCCATTGGCCCATCTGATCAAGATCTTGTTTTACTCTGATGTAGCCTTCTTCGCTGTCACTGTGCCTCCAATTTTGGTGTCATCTGCAGACTTACTAACTATACCTCCTATGTCCACATCCAAATTGTTTATATAAATGATGAAAAACAGTGAATCCAGCACTGATCCTTGTGGCACACCGCTGATCACAGGCCTCCAGTCTGTAAAGCAATTCTCAGCACTGCCTTCTGTCTCCTACCTTCGAGCCAATATTGTGTCCCAACTGGCTAGCTCTCCTTGGATTCCATGTGATGTAACCTTGCTAACCAGTCTACCAGTTTGTCAAATGCCTTTCTGAAGTCCATGTAGACGACGTCCTCCTCTCTGCCCTCATCAATCTTCTTCGTCACTTCTTCAAAAAACCCAATCAAGTCAGTGAGACATGATTTCCCACAAACAAAGCCATACTGACAATCGCTAATCAGTCCTTGCTTTTCCAAATACATGTAAATCCTATCCCTCAGGATCCCCTCCAACAACTTGCCCGCCACTGATGTCAGGCTCACCGGCCTATAGTTTCCTGCCTTTTCCTTACCTGCTTTCCTAAATAGTGGTACCACGTTCGCCACCATCCAGTCATCCGGTACCTCACCTGTGGCTATCGATGATACAAACATCTCAGCAAGGGGCCCAGCAATCACTTCTCTAGTTTCCCACAAAGTTCTGGGGCACACCTGACCAGGTCCTGGGGATTTATCCACCTTAATGCGTCAGTGCTTACAAATTAGGAGTCACGTATTTAAAACAGATCGGGTGAAATCATAAAAGCCGGAAGAACTGTGGATGCTGTAAATCAGGAACAAAAACAGAAGTTGCTGGAAAATCTCAGAACTGAGGAAGGGGTCACCAGACCTGAAGCGTTAACTCTGATTTTTTTTTTCTTTGCAGATGCTGCCAGACCCACTGAGATTTTCCAGCATCTTCTGTTTTTGTGTCGGGTGAAATTATTTCTTTTGTAGGGTTCTGGTTGTATGGGACTCTCTTTCTGTTGAGGTGGTAGAGGCAGGTTCTTGAATGTTTTAAAGGCAGTGACGGATAGATTCTTGTTAACCAAGGAGGTGAAAGATTATCGGGGTAGGCAGGACTGTGGATCTGAAGTTACAATAAGCTGAGCCAACTTAGCAGGTCATCCTCATTACTGTAACCTGAATCCACATAATTTAGTCACGTCTTGCCCTGTTTTTTATTTCCTGAGGTTTTAAAAAAAACACTATTCTCCTCCTCAAACCAAAAGTTGCGAAGTAAATGTACAAAGGACCTAGGTGTCCTCATCAATAAATCTGTGAAGGCGAACATGGAGGTACGCCGAGCTATGAGGAAAGCCAACAAAATGCTTGAAAAAAGAACTTGCTGGAGAAACACAGCAGTCTGGCTGCATATGTTGGAGAGAAAGCAGAGTCAACATTTTGGGTCCAGCCTCACATGAACTAGTAGTAGCTGGGAAAAGATGGTATGTATGCTGAAGATGGTGAGGGTGGTGAAGGAATCAGCAATAGATGCAGTAGGAGCCCAGGGACAAATAAAGACATCAAGGCAGACACAGGGCTGGATAATAGTGAGCCAGGGAGAAAGAAAAGCTGCTAATGGGGACCACAGGTAGGCGAAAATGGGTTGGCCATGATGTAAACAGCCCACATGATGACAGGGTCTGGGATGTGGTCTCGGTAAAGGACATGGAAGAACGTGTTCAGGATGTAAACTTATTGAACTCGATATTCAGTCCTGAAGGCTGCAGGGTCCCCAAGCGGAAAATGAGATGCTCTTCTTCCGGTTTGCACTTAGCATCACTGGAGCACTGCAGCAGGCCCAAGACAGAAACGTTGGCTGGTGAGCGTGATGGTGTGTTGAAGTGACAGGTAACCAGAAGCTCTGGTCATTTTTCTGGAAAGAATGTAGGTGTTCTGCAAAGCAGTCATCCTGTTTGCATTTGGTCTCCCCAGTGTAGAAGAGACCATGTTGTGAGCAGCGATTACAGTAGACTAGATTGCATGAAATGCAGGTTAAGCACTGCTTTACCTGGAAGGTGTGTCTGGCCCCTTGGATAATGATCCCTGTAATCTGGCATTCCTCATGGCCAATCCACCTGACCTGCACACTGTGAAACTGCGAGAGGAAACTGGAGTACTGGAAGTAAACCCACGCAGATATGGGGAGAATGAGCAAACTCCATGCAGGCAGTCACCAGAGGATGGAATCAAACCTGGGTCCCTGGCGCTGTAAGCTAGCAGTGCTAACCATTCAGCCACCATGCTACTCCAGTTGCTGAGTTAAGCCTACTGTTTCCACCAATTTCCTTTTTTCTACCTAAATGGCCCCATTGTTCCTCTGAGTATTTGCTTCTTTCGAATACTATTGTAGTTCCTTCCATGTTACTTGTCGTGCAAATTGGCATGCTTTGATGAGCTAGCATTTCATTACATACGTGGAGTCAAAAACAAGTACAGTCTGCAGTTGAAACTGACTGGGGATAACTGCGTCTTTAATGCAGATATATTCCACAATATTCCAAAGTCATTAATTCCAAACTTATTCTCACAACATTTTTAAAATTTAATATTACTTCCATTGTCAATAGAAATATTTAGGTTTTATTGTCACGTGTACTCAAGTATGGGGACTAGAGTACAGTCACAACTGTACAACGTCGCCAAATTTATCAGCAAATTTGTTAGGAAATAGGATGTTCTTTGCATCACAAAAGGAGGAGCTAGGTGATGCAAAACTTAGTTTTGAAGAATGGTCACTTTCCTGATACTTTGTTTTTGCTTAAAGCCAAACGAAGGTTCAACAGCTCCTCCAATGAACAGAATATGCAATTACAGTGTAACAAGTTTACGAGGTAGGTTCCATTATAAATGTGGATACAACAATTTGGAGTAATAGGTAACAGAACAGTAGGTGCTCGGAGGTAAAGAAGGCAAAGTTGCAAGCATGTCATTATTTTGACATGAACTTGTTAACTGATGGACATTTCCAGGCTTGCTAGGCCAATGGGACAAGCACATTTGAATAAGGCAATAAACTGAAGACATAAAACTACATCTGGGTCTGACTGCATTAGTGCAGGGGCTTTCTAAGGCTATCTGAAACTCACTAGGGTCACCAAGGGGAGCGCAGTGCAGGGATTATCGATGGGGCTATGAAATTCACATTGAAAAACCTTCAAATATTGAACCAAGTTCAAAGATTTTGCTGACAGGTCTTGCTCAGAGTGTAATTTTATTGATGTAGAGACAATTTTCAAGACATTAAAAGGTCAATTTGGACCTTTATTTACTTTATCTGTACTTCCCAACTGTTGGCCTTCTCAGCAGCGTGGGAGCAGCTTCTACAGTTCTAGTGTAAACTTCTGATTAGGAACCAGTTGAGCAGTACTGACACCAAAATCACCACCATCATTGCTCACCAAGGAGGGAGACGAACAGAGAGCTCAAACTCATTGAGGCAATATCCCCAAAACAATCTGCACTGACTGAAGATCGGGGTGGACTAATCAAGGTATTCAAGATATTAACAGGGAAAGACAGGGCAGATCAAGATAAACTATTTTCACTGATTGAAGATTCTAGAACCCGGAGGCATAATCTGAGAATTAGAGCCAGGCCATTCACGAGAGATGTTAGAAAGTGTGAGAAGTGGCGGTTGATGCTAATTCAATTGTCAAATTTAAATCTGAGGTAGACAATTTTTTTCTTACAAGCAAAAGTATTCAGGGGAATGGGCCCAAGGCAGGCATATGGAATTAGACCACAGATCAAGCATGATCTTGTTGAATGGTGGAGTAGGCTCAAGGGACTGAATGGCCTACTCTTGTTTAAATGCCTGTTGTGCTGAATTAATGCCCACCTTCTGTATTTTATATTTAAGGTCAATGGATCAGCGACGATTATTAAGGATTTTGATGAATTTTTCTAATCATGCTTTTGTGAGAGTCCAAATTTCCCATTTGGTTGCAGAAATGCACTATTATTATGATACTGTATCACCTAATGAAGGTGTAATGAGATTGAAGAAGGGTCTTGTGAAAACTTAGAAGTAGCCCTCCAGAAAATCTCAAGAGAGGTTTGGTTTTGAGGGGTTGACCCTTGCATAACCTCTAACAGCACTCCTAAAGTACTGAATAATCAAGGGGCAATAGTGGGGGAGGAAATAAATCAAATAATTATCACTAGAGAAAAATTACTAAGGAAATTATTCGACCTAAAAGCTGATAGCTTCCCTGGATCTGATGGGTTGTGTCTGAGGATATTAAAGGAATTAGCCAAAGAGACAGTGTATACATGGTTGTAACCTTCCAAGAATCCTTAGCTTCTGGAGAAATCCCAAAGGATTGGAGATACAAAATTGGGTCAGTTAGCTTAAACTTTGTTGTTAGTAAGATGTTAAGAGTCTGTAACTAGTGGAGTACCACAGCGATCAGTGCTGGGACCTCTGCTGCCTGTGGCAGCAGGATTTGGAGGAAAACGTGGCTGGTCTAATTAGCAAGTTTGCAGACGATACAAAGATTGATGGAGTTGCGGATAGAGAGGAGGATTGTCAGAGAATACAGCAGATATAGATCATTTTGAGGCATAGGCAGAAAAATGGCAGATGGAGTTTAATCCAAACAAATGTGAGGTGATGCATTTTGGAAGGTCAAGTACAGGTGGAAATTATACAGTGAATGGCCTATACAGTGAATGGCCAGCACCCTTAGGAGTATTGGTATGCAGAAGGATCTGAGTGTGCAGGTTCACAGATCACTGAAGGTGGCAGTGCAGGAAGAGAAGGTGGTAAAAAAAGGCCCATGGCATGCTTGCTTTCATTGGAAATGGTATTGAGTATAAGGGTAGGCAAGTTATGCTGCAGCTTTATAGAACTTTAGTTAGGCCACACTTTGAATATTGAGTACAGTTTTGGTCACCATGCTACCAGAAGGATGTGGATGCTTTGGAGAGGGTATAGAAAAGGTTTACCAGGATATTGCCTGATTTGGGGGATTTTAGCTATGAAGAAAGGTTGGACAGACTGGGTTTGTTTTCTCTGGAATGGAAGAAGTTGAGGGGCAACCTAATATAAGTTTATAAAATTGTGAATGGCATAGATAGAGTGGAAAGTACGAAGCTTTTTCCCCAGTGGGGAGGGGTCAATGACTCGGGGACACTGGTTCAAGGTGCGGGGGAGTTTAAAAGAGATGTGCTGGACACGTTTTTCACACAAAGGGTGGTGAGTGCCTGGAACGCACTGTCAGAGAAGGTGATGGAAGCAGACACAGTAGCAGCATTCAAGAAACATCTGGGTGAACACATGAATAGGAAGGGATTAGAAGGATATGGATCCTGTAAGTGAAGACAGTTTTAGTATGAAAGGGCAAAATGTATCAGCGCGGGTTTGAAGGGCCAAATGTATTGTTCTTTGTTTTATAATTGCTAAATTGGACCTGTGCATTTTGAATTGAACCTGATCAAGATGTGCTTGACAGACTGGAACATAATATAACAGTTCTCACAAGGTCCCATCTACATTGGAAGTAATCAAAAAACTGGCCCTGTGAACGCAATATGAAATTTTTGGATGTGCCAATAATCCGTGTACAGACTGTTGCTTTAAAGAGATCATACAGTTTATCCCTTCTCTCAGTTATCAATACTGCAGTCCTGATGTACTCCATCTTTTTGGTATTGAGTCCAACAATTTGGTCAGATTCAATGGGATTGTCTATTTGGGGTACACAATTTTGAAGGAGTCAGTTAGCTCAGTTGACTGGATGGCAGTTTTTTTGGTTCAATTCCTACACTGGCTGAGGATATCATGAAGGACTCTCCTCCTTAACCTCATACCTCGCCTGAGGTGTAGCGACGTTCAGGCCAAACTATCACAAGTCGTCACCCTGTAATGAGAGAGCAGTCCCTGTAATGAGAGAGCAGTTGTATGGTCTAGTAACAGTGTGGCAACTTTACTTTCATTGAGTTAGAGTGTCTCACCCTTCTTTCAAGGGCATTAATCTTCCATTTTACCAACAAAATATTTTCAATGAATTTCTATCTTATTTTCTCCACTTTAACAGTCTCATTTCTCATTTTCAATTGCACAGCTTGTTTACATTGTAAGTACACTGTTTTCCTTGAGCAGTATCATTTTCTCCCCTTTTTATGGTTTATTGTTATCATCCGAAGTTAAATATTTGTTTGTTGTGTTCCTGATGCCATTATTACATGAGAACTATCTCTTTAATTGCACTTCGATTGTATTTTGAGCACTATACCGGTCACTTAATTACCACACTGCAAATGTATCTTTTTATTTTATCTGCACAGCTATTGAGGTACCTGGTGTACTGCTTGTTGCTTCTGATGGAATATTAACAGCAGTGCCTTGATAGTTCAGTTAGATTTTATCTTCTACTCTCATTTGTCACATCTTTCATTGGTTTCGCACAAATGCAACACCCTGGGTGGTGCAAAGCTCAGTCAACACTGAAGACTTGCAGTCGGATTTGAAGCCAAAATCATTGGACTTAAAAGAGAGAACATTGCCAACAGAGCTGTACTTGGACTTTATCTATTCTGTTGCTTTATTGTCTGTCACAAAACAATGTTGCATTAGCTTAAAATCATTATCAGGTGCAATCCCAGATTTCTTTCTGTTTAGAGATGAGTTTTCTCTTTAAGTGCTGTCTACCTGGATATCTGCTTCAATGTGAAACTGTTAGGATTTCTTTACATTCAATGTCATCTGCTTCTTTCTGGCCATTTCCTTGTTTAATATAATATTACTGCTTCTTCAATCTGCTAATGTTTCAGACTACTTTTAAGCTTTCGTTCCTCTGTACAAATTGCCTGAGAGCAGAAAAAAATGAATTTCAGGCAACTGAAAGGCTGTCAAAACTGAGAATATGTCTTTATTGCCACTGTTACATAATACTCAGAGTTTGCTGCCAATTGGAGATTTTTTTTTGTCTGGAGTTGAATAGAAATATTTTCAGTTCAACGTTTGGACTCTCTTCTCTCTTTGCAATTACTTGCAGAAGTTAAGCACAACCAAATGTCTGTTTCTGTGTTTCTTTGGCTGCATCTACATTTGTTGATACCACGTATTCACTTACATCTCTTTTTCATTGCTAACATTTCAGTGATTGTTATCCTGCCACGGGAAAGCTGTGATCTTTCCAAACACATCACATATTTTCAGGTATCCAGGGTGGTGATGGATGTTCTGGTCATTTTGATAGCTGGGATATTAAACCAGATTGTATTTATTTCCCAATGACATTCCTGTCCATTACCCCAGTCTGTAGTGCCAGTCTTGAGTTAATTTATGGAGTCAGAGATTCTTCTGTCTGGGTAACTGTCACTTTTGGTTTTGATCAATTCATTGCCATTTGTTGCCAGATGCTGAAAATAAAATATTGCACCGAGAAAGTATCACCTGTGGTTATAGCAACTGCCTGCACTCTGAGCTGGATCAGAAATATCTCTTTGTACTTTGTACTTTGTTTATGAGCCTTCCTTTATCACTAACAATGTACCTTTGTTTGCAGCCTCCAATCAATATATTATACCTCACCCTTTTGGGTTGCATTTGACTGGTTAATCATAATTTTCAACCCTTGTCTTCCATTCATTCTGATTTTGCTGCTCAATGTCCACACTGTCAGGCATATTGTATTGGCCAGTAGAGCCCACAGGAGACTCTGGAGCAGGAGCAATGGAGAGAAGCAGAGTGACACAGAGATGTAAAAATGGAGGAAGTCCATTGTTTTTGTCATCTCGGGCACTTTCCTCTTGTCGTATTTGTTGGTTCTGCTGACTTTCCTCTGTGATCAAATTGCAAATGTCATTTATTTCTCAGGTTCAAATTACAATGAATTAAACTTTATTCTTGAGGGAGGTTGGTAAATGCTTCAGCTTTTGAATTCTTGCAACAACCCAGAGTAAATTCAGAGAGCAGTTAAAGAAATTGGTGGAATTTAAATAGTGATCACAATAAAATGCAATTTGAGTTCAACATTATTGTCTGTCAATTCCTTTTTCATTCATTCACACATGTCATCTTGATTAGGCTGTCCTCATGAATTCTGCTGCTTTACCTTCTGTAGTGCGATCAGCAGTCCCTGGAGATACAACTGTACTTGTTCGTACAGACACATGGAATTAGAGAGACAAGAAGAGATTCAAGAAGGAAAATGTGGTGAAAACCAAGATTTGTCTAGTCTGACTATCTCAATCTTGCATATAATCTCATGTTAAAAGAGTATGATGATCTGGGATATGAGAATTGTATAAAACAGTACATGATGACAACTCCCAAAGTCCTCTGTTCAGTTTGCTCAGCCATTCAACAAGATTGGTTAGGACCCTTTTGGAATACTGCAAGAAATTCTGGTCTCCCTGCTTAGGAAAGATATTGTGAAACTTGGGAAAAAATTTACGAGGATGTTGCCAGAGTTGGATGGTTTGATCTCTAGGGAGAGGCTGAATAGGCTGGGGCTATTTTTCCTGGAGCTTCAGAAGCTGAGGGGTAACCTTATAAAGGTTTATAAAGTCATGAGGGGCATGGATAGAGTGAATAGCCAAGGTCTTTTCCCCTAGAGGACATAGGGAGAGGGGAAAGATATGAAAGGGATCTAAGAGACAACTTTTTCATGCAGAAGGTGTTACTTGTATGGAATGATCTGTCAGAGGAAGTGGTGGAGGCTGGTACAATTACAACATTTAAAAGGCATCTGGATGGGTACATGAATAAGAAGGGTATGGGGGATATGGGCCAACTGCTGGAAAATGGGACTAGATTAATTTAGGATATCTGGTGAAGAAGATTTCAGCTATCAGTGAGACTGGAAATGCACCAAGATAACCAAACTGGTTAGATTATGCTTGGAGAGCTGTGTTCAATTCTGGGCTGCATGCTTTTGAATGGTTCAAGAATCTTGGAGTGAGTAACAACTGAATTCCAAGGTTCAAACTAACAGGGCGAGAATACACCAAAGAGTCAGAGTCCTTAAGGAACAGTGCTGGCCCTTGCGTCCATGCTTACTGTCTACAACAACCCAGTCACACTCATTCCTGCATTCTATCCTTGCATGATATTTCTCTCAAATGCTGATTCAATTTCATTTTGAAATCAATCAGTGTCTTTTTCCAACCACCATCAGGGGCGGCAAGATCTAGAACATTACCATCAATTGTGTGAAAGTGTTCTTATAACATCTTCCCCACTCTGTTTCTTTCTCAGAAACTTCAATCTGTCTCTAATCTATGTATAATCAGCTAATGGGAATACATTGACTTTTTTTTACCTTATTTAAACATGTTGTAAATCTTGTAACTTAATCAAATCTCTTGTCAGCCTGCTTTGCTGAATCCATTCTGATAAATCTCCTCTGCACACTCCTGAGGATCTCTCAACCTTTATTAAAGGTGGTGACCAGAAATGGACACAAAACTGGAACTGTTGCCTAATGAGAGCTTTATTAATGTACAATATTACTTGCCTTCTTCACATTACCAATATCTATGAAGCTCGAGATCGAATTTGCTTTGTCCCTCTACCTTCAAAGATGTATGCACATGAAACAGAAATCCCTTGATCCCTGCATACTCCTTAGAATCGTATCATTAATTATATATTGCCTCTATCTATCCCTTCTGCTAAAATACATCACCATATTATGAGGGAGTTATGCCCTAGAATTTGAAAATTAAGTGATGGTTTTGACCAAGGATTTTGTTTTGTGATTGGTGACTGACCGGGGAGTGAGACGAGAACTATTTCCATTGGGTGGGAAATGAAGGGTGAGCAGCCACAATCTCACATAGCATCAGGTTCCAGCTTCTTTTCAGGGAAGTGTTCCAAGTGCTGACAACTGTCCTATGGTGCAGAAACTGCTGAACTCCATGTTGAGTCTAGAAGCTTGGAAAGTGCTGAATTGAAGGCTGTTCCTTGGAGCATTGCAGGAGGCCAAGGTCAGAGTGGGAGTGGGGCAGAAAATTAAAATGACAAATGACCAGATACTCAGGGTCCGGTTTGCAGACTGAATTTTATATTGTTCCGCAAAGTAATTGCCGAACTTATGTTTGGAGTTCCCAAAGTAGCACAGATCCCATTGTGAGCATTGAGGACAGTAATTAAAATGCAGAAAGTACAAATGAATCATTGTTTATTTGTGTCTTGCAAAAGCTTGAGGACAACCTATAAAGAGATGCTTCATTTGTAGGTAGGTTATAAAGTGCAGCAAACTGATTGACAAAATATTAAATCCTAATCCCAGCTGTAGGTTACAATCAATCCCAGCTATCAGAATGAATACTGTTCAGTCCTGGATGTGGTTAACAACATAATCCAATTACTGTTGTCACTCTGATCTCATTGGTTTTTCAGAAGGTTGTCTGATCGATTACAACAAGGTGCAGAGCTGGATGAACACAGCAGGCCAAGCAGCATCATAGGAGCAGGAAGGCTGACGTTTCGGGCCTAGACCCTTCATCAGAAATGGTCTAGGCCCGAAA